TGTGAAATAACTTGATGAACTGTCTTCCTGCAAAGATTGTTCTGAATATACATTTCAGTACTTCCACCATGATTTAGATTTATTACAGTATTTTTCTCTGATAATTTTTTCAGCCTTAGTAAAGCTAAAAAATCAGCCAAGGCTGATTTTTGTCAGCTTTAGATCATGTATCTTTCTTATATAAGAATGGACACTTTGTTATCTGTGAAAGCATGAGTAGTGTTTGAAAGAGCACTTGTCTCTGTGCATGTACATGAACTGAGAGGTAACTGGATAAAAAGCAAAAGGAAGATCTTCACTAACAATAGTTTTCATAAGTAGAGTATCAATTATTGTAAAAAGTAACTTTAAATTTTTTTCTCACCCCAATGACATTGAGCAGGAACAAGAACCATGAAATGTAAGTAGTAAGTCTGAAACTCCTCGAGTTTGCAGAGCAACTCTAATCCCTGTGCAGCTGAGTATCAGAGCTATGCCTTTGTGCTCACCCATCTACCACCACTGGGGGCTGCAGGTACTGTCAATCCAGCCTACTGCAGAGACAAAATAGTGAACAATTTAAACGATGTGCTAATGTGAGATACAGGGGTTGAATGTATTCTTAGCCACCTTAACAACTAAGTGTTTGAAAATTAGTACAGGAACTATCTTGGTGGGAATTTTGGACTGTCCCAAAGGCAGCTCCTGCCATGCCCAGAACAATTTATGTGTTTCAATGTGTTGATTATCATCTGGGCAGGAAATCTGGACCTTCCAGGAATTCCTCAGCTGGTTCACCTTAGAAAATTGATCAAGTGTATACAAATACTCTTTAGCCCACATACTCTAAGCTCTCTGGCATTATAGTCATGCAGCACATTCACCTCCTGACAAATTGATATTGATGATAAATAGATAGATATGATACAAATGAGAGATAGAAACGTCAGTAACTCAGAGGAAAGTATCAGCATTCTTTATTTTTCTTTCTATTTTTCTTCATTAAAGTGTCATAATCTTCTCTATTCTCCATTATCTCTATGAAGACTTAATAGATTTGGCACATAAAAATGGTTTCTTACCATGGATATTTTCTTCACAGCACAATGACCTTATTTCCTTTTTTCTTGACTAATTCAATGTTCCCCAGACACATTCTCTATTTAACTTCTCACAAGTCACTACATTTTTACCACACTGGGGAGCATAAGTGCTACCAATAGTTCTAGTGAGATTTATTTGAATTTTAGTAGATTTTTTTAAAGTTTAGAGCACATCTTACATCTCCTGATTTATTGGTAAGCACTTTTTCATTGGTATAGGTGAACTTCACCCCTAAATGGAAAGAGACAAATGAAATAGAATATGCCATTTTTATTTCTAGATAAATCCTAAGTTACAGGGAAATCTGTGATGAAACAGACATCTTGTAATGATATGATAGTGACTTAAATCTGCTTGGAACTTATATAATACACTGTCTTTCCCCAAAAATGCCAGAAGATGGACATACAAATAGAAACCATGGATAATGGAATTAACAAAATGGTGAGATTGGGGAAGTCCATTTCAGAACTAAGGATATTTGAGTTAATTTTTCTGGCTGTGAAATGCAGTATTAAATAGATCCCTTGAAGTCATATTGAAGCTGTGAGCACTAGTACTTCCTCTTCTGTTTCTGAGTAAATTGGAAGTGATTAAAATCTAGGCATCTTTTTGCATTGAAAGTTGTTCAAAGTTTCCCAGGGCTTATTGCTGATATTACATTCTAAGAGGATGTCTCCTTGTGCATCTGAAGTACCTGAGTCAGTAGATATGCCTAGAAATTTCTAGACCTTACGTAGAACAGTGACTCCTTTTTTTTTTTTTGTGAAAGCATTCTGCTGTTGTGGCCCTGGTCTTGCTGCCCAATTCCCCTTCCCTTTACAGGAGCTAAGAGTTGGTGGTTTAGGGGTAACAGTCAGTGCCAGGTTGATGGTTGGACTTGGTGTCTTAAAGGTCTCTTCCAAACTTAATGATTCTAAAACCTTGCCCTAGAAACACGAGTGCAATTGTCTCAAGTTGAAGATAGGTATAAATTGAGTGAGTTTTGATCCAAATGGGATCAGAAACACTGAGAGAGGGTTTGTATCAACTGTGTTAAGTGAGGATGTTTGGCTGCCAAGCGTGAAGTTCATCCTTGGCTCCCATGCTGCCGTTGTTCAGAGCTGCTGCTGCTCAGCCAAATGCTCTTGTCCAGAGCTCCTCCTGGAGGTGTGTTCTTGCTGTCTCTTCCCAAACCAGCACAGCTGTGAATATGACACTCTAGTCTGGCAGCGAGGCAGATTGGTGATGATATGTGGCAGGGGTAGGCTTGTCTGGAGAGGCATCCTGTAGGTTGTTGTTAGGCATGCCCCCAGAACAGCAGCTCGAGAGAGACAGGCTGCCTGATGCATACAGTGGGGTACTGCCAGAGAAACTGTTTCATAGGCTGCCTAGTAACTACTTACAGAAAAAGACTTCATATTACTAAAACAGAGCTAGTTCCTTATCGAGAGATATTTATAGGGATGCTTGTAACATTTCAGCCATACTCTCACAGATGGCTTCTTGATGTCTCATTCAGGCTCACTCATCTTTTTCCAAATTCATAGCAGCAACCTCTGGAAAGGCAATTTCATGTATTGTGTGCATTTATCCTATGTAAAGAGTGTTCCAGACTCTGACCAGTGCCTACCTCCATGCTATGGAAAAAAAAAATCTGGGATACATCTCAGGCTCTAGAGTTCATCCCTGTTTGAGTGCACTGAGAGCTTTTGGCACTGGCTAACACACATCTGCAGTACTTACACAACATTAACAGGAACATGTTGCTCCTTTGGTGCTATTCTGAAGAAGATGAATCTTAGTCCCTTTTATTCTTGAACTAATGGCTGAAGAGCAGACACATACCAGTCCTTAATTCTCAGAGCTTGTTCCCTTTTCTTCAATGTATTGTTAGCACTCAATAAATAATAAATAACTGCTATGTTGGTGTCTCTTTAATGACCTGAGCCTATAGTCCCAATGTGCAGTAGCTGTGCATGCACATCTCTATATGCAATATTAATGGTTATGTTATGTAACTGTATAATGGAATGTCAAGGAGTCTCTGGGACTCTTGCCTGAGAGACGATTTGAAAGGAATGTGAACAGCAGAGTTTGGCCCTGGATTCATAAAACTATACTGATCAACAGTAGAGCACCATTTTCTATTTACTTGATAAGTAAGTTCAGCCTCTAACAATCTGAGAGAAATTTCAAGAACGTATGCCATATTTGCTTGCTTATGATGCACTTTTTTTATTTCATTGCTTTGGATAAACACAAGCTGAATGCAGATAATTGCTACTGTGTTTTATAGCACAAAAGACAGGGCTAAAAATGCCCAGAGTGACAGGGTCACAGCTAAAATTCTCCCAGCTCCCAGTGAGACCTATCTGGTGCATGCCTGTCTCACAGAATTGAGCAATTGCTCTGCTTCACATTGCTACTGACTCCTTCATGAGGGGAGGGAGGCACAATGTCAGGCTGCTCCAGCCACCTTCACCAGGGGGACAGAGCATCAGAGATGGTCACTGCATTGCTGGGGGCCAGGCTGTGCACACAGAGCAGTTTGGCTTTTTGATATTGCTTGGAAGCATCTGCTTTCTCTTCTCTTTAGCATACTGACTCCTGGACTGCTGAGCCCCAAGCCCTGTGTGAAATATGCACATGCACAGGCAGGGCATGAGAGGGAGAAAGAGTCAGCTGCAGTTTACTAAAGCATCAGAGGAAGAAAGGGAATCAAAGGTGAATGTGGGAGGCCATGGAAAAGAGAGAGAAGGAGATGCAAGATGCTGGAAAATGTGCTACATGCAAGAAACAGAATGAGGGAAAGGGAGTATGTGGAAATATTAAAGAGAAACTCGGGGGAGAACACAGGGACACCAGAAGGAGAGAAGCATAAAAAAATGGGTGAACGGTGAGACATAAATGAAGAATGGTGAGGGGAACAGCTGGGAAAATCAGAAGATAGCTAATGGACTATTGCAGTATCTTTTGGGAAGAGCCTTGAGAGAAGCTTTTAAAGTAGTTTTAAAAATTAAATAATCAGAGAAATAGTGGTTATATTGGTTATATGGGGTGTTTTTTAGGAAGAAGAGAGCAACCTAGAGGGACTACCCAGTATTTGGAAGTTTTCTAATTCTTGAAGATTCTAACTTCTCTAGAGATTGTAGTCAATTTACTATATCAGTCATGGGCTGTTTCCTAGTATCATTACATCCACAGTACTTTGTTTTCTGCTCTACTTTTTCCTATAGCAGAGATTAGTAGTGCCAGATTTTCTTTCAGGCAGTTATTGCTTTTTTTGTTTTGTTTTAATTTTATCAACAGATACTAATTTTTCTTGCAAGGGGATAGGAAAGTTTTTCTAGGTGCAGTGCTGAGAATAAGGATTCTGTGGATCCTTGAGAACCAAAGATCCACTTTACTGAGATTGCGAGACAACTTCACAGCTTGGTACTTCCTTCTAGTCCTGTGTTCCCATGCTTCTGTAGAAGCCTGATAGATTAAAATTTAAATTTTGAAAACCTTTAAGCCTTCAATTAATGCCTCTTCAGCAAAGTCCTCTTGTTTATACTTTAAGAACATCCTTAAGTTTCTTTGAAGTCAATAGAATTAGAAAAGCTCTGCCAAAAAGAGATAAAGGCTTTGTTTTGCTGACATATGCAGCATATGATTAGTACAATTTTAAGTACAAATCTCTGTATAGATACTATTATTTTGAACAAAAAAAAAGGATGTAATTTATGTAACAAAATAGTAAAATCTAAATTAACTCGAAGGTCTTTCATATTGGCATAAAGAAATGCACATGAACAGTCCTCTTCCCTGATGTAATGCTGACCACTCTTTATTTTGGTACAAACCTGTGTTTTAAGCAGGCCTTTTCAGTTTTGCTGTCAGCACATTATTATAAACCAGGCAGATGGACACAATATCCTGTGTTTCCTTCACAGGTGAACATGATTTCCAGCAGCAGGCGTCAGTCTCAGAGAAGCCACATGATGTTGCCATGCTCCATAATAGTTGAGGTAGGAAAATATAATAGATACATTGCAATGTTCTTGGGTGTATTTTTTAATAAAATACTCTCAGCAGCTATCAAAATGTTTATGTTTATGGGCTGTTCTCAGCGAGTAATCACTTGTGACAACTGGGAAAATTCCTGTCCCTACAGTATTCTTTCATGAGAGGGAATGGAGTCCCTATGCCTGCAATTAAATTTGAAGTGATTGTGATGTTCTGAAGTGCCAGAACACAGGGAAGTGAAGTACCTCTGAGCTATAGTTTTGTTTTATAGTACCTCTGATCCATAGTTTTGGTGATTAAATCTTAATAATACTCTATAAGTCTACAATTATTTTCATTCTTAAACCGCTTTACATTTGAGTTGCATATCTTGTGGAATCCAATAAAATATTGCTATGAAGGAGAATGTAACTCTCACGGGCAGGTTTTAGAGGGTAACTCAGTTTAGAATAGTTGTGCTTATTTATATTGGCAGAGGTTTTGTTCCCATTTTTTAAAGCCATTTCTCTGTCCAAAACATTTGGATCACACAAAAAAAAATTCAAGCAACATTTTTCTTATCTTTTAGTGCATGCTCATTATAAAGAAAAATCCTGATGGTTCTTCTCAGTTTGCCAGCTGACTTGGTATGAGGGAGCCTGAGGGAAATGATTAAGCTGTATTTTCAGCACAGTCTTTCCTGACTTGCATGTGCACACCGGTATCATTGGATTCTGTGGACTGCAGATCAAAGAGGAACCTCTCCAGATAAGCATTTCTTAGGCTGAGTGAGAGTGGGGCGTTTGCATTTAATTTTCTGCTCAGCTGCAGACTCATGCACTGTACTGGACACGGGCTTGGGCCTTGCTGCAGAGGCAATTAGGTATTGCCATGCCTGGTTTTCAGGCAATAACTTGTTCTAGGGATTTCAGTGGTGTTCAGTATTAGACTTCAGAAGTAAAAGTTAACAAGTTTTAAATTTCCCCATGAATCTAATTCCTAGACTCTGCCCCTTGGTATCTATCTCCTTACCTCATACTGGTACTGAGAAAGCAGTGCTTTGGTTCCTGTGGGATGCATAGATCCTTCTGTGATACCTTTAGAGTTGTCTCATAAATGGAGAGTGAAGGATGTCATAAATTGAGGGAGAATATAGCAGCACGTCAAGCAGAAGTTTTTTATAGTGTAAACATTTTGACTTAAATGACCTTTCCTAAATAAATTCTCATCCTCAATGGAGTAATGGAGCCTTCTTTGCCTTTTGGATTAAGGTGTTTAAGGTTTTTTTTAACAGCACATTCTGGAAATTATTTCCATGTGGATAGAAAAATTGCTTCATTGTCTGGCATTATTTCTGTCACATAATTTCAACGTTTTGTAACTCCACAATTTATATTCACTGTTTTCAAGTGATGTTTGTGATCCATTGTGACACAAATCACTGCAGATCCACTGCCTTTTCTTGCCTGTGCTATGTCACACTGAGACAGCAGCAAGACTCACGGCCTCTGTGTCATCACATCCAATGGCATTAGGGGATCCAAAACTCTGATGATGTCATGATGCTATTATATAAGTTTGTCATGAAATTTATTAGGGAGCTCATACAGAGCAACAGATGCATACAGATAGGGATTAGGAAACGTGATTTCTCTTCCTGAATGTTGGGGGCAATTAGTTCATTTATTTGTGTATTTATTTCCATTCCTAGGCTTGTAATTCTCTTTAGGTGTAGAGTAAGATTTTTCTTTTTCTTCAATGTGACATGAAACAGCACATGAACAGGGCTGTACAATTCTGGAATGCTATGCAGATTTATTTCTAATAATTTCTAATAATACTATTACATATTGTTGATTTTGTCCCATGATTTAGACCTTAAAGCTTTGTATAAGACTTTGAATGCAAAATGTAGATCCTGAAAGGAATTACAGAAATATAAATATTATTGTAATAGCAGATCTTCTGTAAGAGTCATAGAAATATTAACAATAATTTAAAAATATATTCAGCTGTTTTATTAAGTATGTTGTAAAAAAAAAAAGAAAGCGATTTCAAAACAATGTAGTGCTTTAGATACCACAGATAAATGTAAAATACCAGGACAGAATCAAATATATACAGCATATATACATATATATACAAATCTTGGATGGAATTGAAACTATATGGAGATTTAATAGAAAATAAATAAATAAATAATATATAACTTAAAACTCCATAGCTTTCAGTGACTTTGACTATCTTTGGTTTAGACTTGCTCCTTCAATTAAAAGTAGCCCTTTGGCTCATTTTGACTTAGGGAAAATATACTTTTGACTGTCCTGCCTATTTCTTAGGGCATCTGGCACAAAGAGGTTGCTTAGGGAAATACATGAGTTTTGAACTAGGAAATGAATTGCTTAGGCAGTCTTTGTCAATAAATTTGTCCAGGGTGTTATAGAGATCATCTTACAAGACAGCACTTATGACTGACTGTCCTCATAACCCCTTCCACAAACAGAAAAAAAATTACTGGGCCTTTTAAAATCTTGCTGAATTTGATGTATCAGTTGTCTGTCAAAGAGCGTGGAAGGAAACTGTGAGTTTCCCATTCCAGTAGATTCTTCTTTTTCTTTGTGAACATAGCCAAGTTTACCAACACAGATTGTGATCTTTGTGAAACTTACTGCCATATATTGATTAGCCTACACTTACTGTGTTATTCCTCTAAGGGACTTTTGGATTGAAATGACCCTCCATGGTAGTAATTCCTTCACAATTCTTTTCAGTTGCTAATTTCTATTATTCATTTAAGAAATGCTTTACAATGAAAAATATATGTGCCCTAATACAGATCTGTTCTGTCACTGCTAGAGAGGAATAGCCTGCTGTTAGAAACAGGGGAGGCTCTGGTTATCTGTGTAGTATTTAACTTTGAAGGACTGCTACACATTTTATTTGACAATGCCCTGAAAAATTTAACTTCCAGCCATATCCACCAGGATGATAAACTTTCAGGGAGAAGAGGATTTCAACATTAATCATTAAGTGAAGGCAATGCAATTGAGAGAGAACAAGCTGATGCTGATGAAAAGCTCTAACTGTGCTAATGAAAGTTTTCAATGTCTTCTACTGACAAGGCAGGCATTGGAAAGCTTCTGCTGCTTTGAAATGGATAAAGCATAGTAATTCAATAAATGTTCTTTATTTGTAGTCTTCCCAATCAATTTCTGAGCTCAGCTCTTGTAAGTAACAGTAACACCCTAGTAAGCATTTGCACCTTAGCAAGCTGTTTAAGACTTGTGTAACAGAGACCCAGATGCGCTGAAATGTCCTGTGCAAGAGCCGTGTTTGTCACCCCAGGCAATGCAGGAAGAGCCACGTCCCCCTCTCTGCTCATCCTCCCCTGCTGGCACTGACTGATTGTGGTAACCTGTAACAAGAACCAGGTACCATTTCCCCTGCGTCTCTTAAGGCTTCTTTTACTTCTAAGAAATGATCAAAGCACAAAACGGCAAGAAGAGAAAGTGTCAAAGACAGTAGGATCCAAGTCAGCTATACTTGGATGGAAACGAATTCATTAATGATTTTTTTCTGGAATTGTCTCGAAGTCTGAAGAAGTTCCTAGACTTTCTGCTCTTCTCTGTAATGCAATGACTTTTTCAGCCCTGACCATAAGAAATGCAGGGAGAAGAAAACTCCTGGTACCCAGTGAATGCATTGTGGTTTACCTTTCCTGCTGGCTCCCCTAGAAGGGAAGGCATAGTGAGTTGTGTACCTAGAGGATATGAACATGTAGTTGAACTTCACTTTCTCTGGGGGATACTTTTAATATGCTTAGGGATATTTTAGACAGTGGAAGTCTTTTCTAAGAACTTGTGTAGCATAACTACCCCGATTAGTTCATAAGCTTTATTACTCTATAGTTCTTTAAAACATCCACACTAGTACTTTTCTTGGAAACTGAAATTAAAAGATTGTGTAGAAGTATCTATTCATTGCATAAAACTAGTGAGATTCAGTTACTTGTGCAGAATTAAATTGATGTGTATCAACAGCAATGAAAATTTCTCCATACAAGATTTTTTTTATCTTTGGGGAAGATTATATGACAAAATCTGCTCTGCATCCCCATTTACAGTATCCTTGTTCCTGGAGCTGCTACTTGCAGTGTTATTGTAAATTGAGTTATAAATTGGAGAGTGAGTGATTAAAACTTGTGTGGATGATATGTATTGTTTAAAGTCGTTCATAATACATCATACCTGGTTTCCCTAAGCTTACTATTGACTTTGGCTGTGTACTTAATGCCAAGGTCAGCTGGGACAAATCTGATAGTGCCTTAATTTCTATGGGTTTACTTTTCTTTTTTTGTTTTTGCTAGCTGAAAGTTTAATTGCTTCTAATGGAATTAAATACTGGACATTAGGCTACCTAATAAGCTAAATAATTTACTTAAATCCAATTTGGATGCTGTTTAGTCACTGTAGAAGCAGTATTCAGCATGTTAGATATTGGCATTGCTATGTGAAGAAAACTTTAATGCCATAAAAATTATGTGTCCTAAGGTAGTTGTATCTTTTCAGCAACTGTCCACTCAATTTTCCAAACATTAATTTTTGTGCCAGCTTAGGGAAAATAGGATTCTGCCGCCCTTATGTTCTGTTCTCAGGTCTCCTACTGATTTTAATTTCACTAAATCAGCAGAATTCCTATAGGAGGAGGGAGAAAGACCAAACACTAATAATATTTTAATGTCTTTCTATTTTAGAGCTAGTTGTACCACATTTACAGCTTTACCACATAGCAGTCACTTCTAAGGAAATGAGCCTTATATGCCTCTAAAAGCGAGTTTCTGGCAAGATGAGGAGTGTAAAAACTGCATGATGCTTTAAGGGCATAAAAGTAGTCACTGTGCAGTCATAACAGAAATGATATATGAATTTTAGTTCTGGTAAATACTAATTAATCTTTTACCAAAATGAATCCTGAAGACATTTCACATTCCTTGGCTCTGTCCCAGTGTTTCAGCCTCCTTGCC